GTACCTCTGGTGCAAATTACTGACCTCTGTCATCATTTTAAGTGGGGGAACTTGCACAATCGGTGGCTGCCTAAATACTTTTTTGCCCCACTGTATCTAAAGTAAGCATCTGTGGGAGGAAGCCGGAGTACCCGGAGAGAGCCCACACAGACACGGGGGAAAAGGCTCCGCTGGACTCAAACTCAGGACCTTGCTGCTATGAGGCAACAGTGCTAACCACTGCTCCACCGTGCCGCCCACAGAGAAAGATGAGAACCATGGCTCTGTGGTCGGTCAGATCCAGCTAATGCAAAGACAGCCCGGCTTTGTTAAACCTGACTCAGAGGATGCTCCTGTGCTGTGTCTGCTGGGCTGAACCTCCATGTGTCGCCACCGTCTCATCATCTCTTATTTACATTCGTCTTCTGCGCGTGCGTCCTGATCGCCGCTGCAGACCCTGCAGTTCTGCATTGTCACCTCCCACTAGCGTCTCTATTTTACAGCCCTAGCAGCTCTTGTAGAGCCTGTAGTGAGCGCTTCTAGAGGAGAAGAAGAAGAGTGCCGATTTGTCAGCTGACTCACCGGGAAAGAGATCAGCCTTAAACACCTGAAGATGAATCCACAGCAGCATATTATCAGCATGTGGACATCATGAATACTATTACACTGAACATCAAATATTAATATGCTGCATTACAAATGTCTGCTTTCGAGGTCAGGTGACGCTCTGACCCTTTGAACCTGCGGCTGATAAAATGATGCGTTACATCATCATTTTAACTTCCTGTGTCTGTGAACGTCAGCAGGAACAGGAAGTGTCTCACCTTCCCTGTAGAAGGACTCCTCTAAAGGCTTCGGGTGCATTAACGTGAAGGGCAGCTCGACCGAGACGTCACTGAAACACAGATCATTGGTAACAACACAATAAAAGCATTTATGACCACGTCAGCACTGAGGTGTTCAGTGAGGTGTTCATGTAACTCTCAGTGTTTCCATCAATGCGAGAACATGAACGGTTACCTCGCTGCCAGATCTCCAAGGAGCCTGCAATCAATAAAAAGAACGAGTTTCAGCTTCAATACAAGAGCACAGAGGATTTATGATGAGTGCATCCCAACGCTGTGGACATTTTCATATAACATCTTTCAAACGAACACAGATGCAGAATTTTTATGGTCCATGCACAGTTAAATAGCTAATCTCCAGTTTAGAAATGGGAACTTCTGCCCTCTGATGATTCTGCAGGTTTTTAAATCTTTTGGGCACCAGGTTGTGAGTGTTGATCAGGCGACCGCGTGCCACACGGCTGAGACGGCCGGCCCGGTTTGAGTCCGAACCCCGGGCTTTGCCACATGTCTGCCCCCTCTTTCCTGTCCTAGTCTATCAAATAAAGCTGAAAAGGCCATAAATAACATTTCTGTTTGTCACCAGCTGAGGGGTCTGATTTGTGGACGATATAACCTGAAGCTAAAACGCCACAGTCTGCACAGAGAGCAGAGCGTCACACGGCGGCGTGACGAACAAGGATTAACATCTGAGCTCAGGGTCAGCAGGCGACCATTTAACATTTGAAGCTCCTCTCGCACGATACTGACCCGCCACGAGACACAACCAGCTTCACTTTGACTTTGTAGGACACGATGATGCCGAGAATCTCCTTATTGGCTCCATCTCTCAACCTGCACAGCAGACAAAATATTCACACGTCACTCTGCTTGGCTGTCTCGGCCCCGCTGGCAGCGAAGGCGGCGTGAAGGCGGCTGGACTCACAGCGTGCTGGACGCCAGGTTGGTGTCCTCGTGCTTCAGTTTTCCGTCCAGAGCGAGACCTCGTTTCTCGCGATTGTTGGCCAGAAACGGAGTGAGGGTGAAAACTTTGCAGAAAGTCGAACTGGGAGCCACAACGTCACTGAGGAGAGGGAAATACAGAAGCTTCAGCTGATTTCACATTAGAGAGCTCGTCAGCAGCGTCAGTTTTTCGCTTACTCCAACTTTTGATTCCTTAGTGTCAAACTTTATGGATGAAACTCACTCTGACTCCTCGGTGGCCACGGGACATTTGTACTGAGCCGTGTTGAACAGGCAGATGTCGGCGTACTGTCGCACTGTGGACACAAATATCAGCATTTAGGAGGACGTGGAGACGTGGAGATACACACAGGAAGCAGCGCCCTGACTTGCCTGAGATCTTCATCTTCTTCACGGTCTTGTTGGTGTTGTTGGTGACGTGAACGTTGACGCTGATTGGCTCACCGTGGTAATAGATCTGAGACACAACAGACAGATGACCTCACGGCTCACAACAACCTTTATGACATTCACCTGGTTAAATCGGCGTACAGGCTAAAAGTTTGCGTTATTAGGGGCGTGGCCTCCCTGACTGGCAGGTGGATGGTGACACCTAGACCTCTGCACCTTGTTTGTGCTGTTGGAGCCTATTGGAGCATTTCTAATGACATCACGTGACCAATAACATGTGTGCTGGGAGGTCGCTGCACTAACAGAGCGTCCCGGAGTCTGAGCTCTAGTTTAAGTGAAATTCAAAGATTTGATTGGCTGTTACTCTGATGAGCAGGCAAACACTTCCGTTTGTGCTCCATAGATGAGCTCTGCTGGCTGCTGGTGGGTGAACTGAGTGAATCTGTCCCTCAGGAGTTACCTCCTTGTCCAGCGAGGCCTCCAGGTGCAGCGGTTTGTCCGACATCAGGAACTGTCTGGTGGTTTCTGCCGTCGGCTGAGGGCCAGGTTTCTCTGGAGCGTACTGCACCTTCCTGATCACCAGACGCACAGAGTTCCTGCAGCAACACAACATAGCTCAGACATTTATTTCAGAGTGGATGTGTCCCAGATTATTCTGTTCACGTGTGTGTGCGGGCACGAGCGCTCTCAGTTTCATTCATAATTCACGTCTTTGTTGTGCCGCTCGGCCGGACTGCGGCTGACTCACGTTTACCTTTTGTGGATCTTTTCTTCAACATTTTCGGCACAGAAAGCTTTCACCTCAAAGTCGACTCCGCAGGCCTGAGGACACACCACAGCGAGACGTGTCTTCAGATTCATTTAAATCCAGACACGTTTCCACCTTTGAAAGGAGCTTCAAACCCAGAGGGTCTGCACGGCGGCACGAATCGAGCACAAAGCAAAAGAAAATGACAGCGGACGTCGTGGCTTTACCTTTCCGGTGTCCTCCGGTCCCGGCTGCAGGGTGACCGAACACGGCAGGTTCAGAGGAATCTGAAAAGATATGAAATATTCAAAACATCTGAAACATTTATGGGCAGGGCAGAGAGTGAGGATACTGCGGGTTCCTGCTCCGCCGTCGCTTCTCTTTGTTTTTCTGCATTTTCTGTTTTTGAACTCCAAGAACAAAAAGTTCCTCCTCTGGGTTTGTGAGACGAGAACATCTGTGAGGACGGGAAGCTCCCAGAGAAGGCGCTGGACACATGAGTCACTGAGGCTTGATGGATGATGTTACGTGATAAAGCATCATGCACGAGGCAGCGTTTTAGCTGTTGTTTTCCAAACTAATTGAATCATTTATTCATTCATATCTCAACGAACAGCTTCATCTGTCATTATTTTCTACTAATGGATACATTTCCATTAAGTCCGGGATCCTGTTTACATGGATCTTTGTCAACTTTCCATGTAATTTCTCACACATTGTTCAGAATGATGCAAAGATGAAATGAAGACATTTGATATCCAAGACTTCAAACATGGAGCCTGGCAGCTCGGCACCAATAACACCGGAGTTGGTGCAGCACGCCGAGAAAAAAACGAATTAGAAAAGTCTTAATATTAACGAGGAGGTCTTTGACCGCCTGATAACCACTGCCTGTCAGTGAAACGTGTGACGGCACGTGTCTGTTCACGCGTGTTTTTACTGTCAGTTACATGAAATCAGTATCAAACTGGTCCAACAGTGATGGCTGTGGCTGATGGCAGGGTGTGATTGCCTGTGGTTTGTATGGAAGACGCCAACTTGTCTGCAAACACTCGCTATGGACTCTCCGAGCTGTAGCAAATTTGCCTTCAAAATAAAAGCCTTTTGAAATGTGTTGGCTGCAGTGGGCTCGGGGAGTGAATGGGGTGTTTGCAAACTGCAGAAACCATGGCAACCAGCATCATCCTTGTGATGGAAAACACCCAGCGACAGCCAGCAACCTCAGCACCAACCGGTCGGGGAATAATCGTCTCCCCTTGCGACCGGAGGCTGCCAGGAAGCTGGTCTGCCTGGATCCAGCACCTCTGTGGGAGAATAAAAGCTAATGAAAGATGAGACGCACTCTGTCACAGATCAGCGGACAAATATTCAGGTGGCCCGGCGGCCTCCGTACCTCGAAGGTGAACGGGTAGGCGTGTTCCCCCAGTTTTTTAATCAGACGTTCCTGAAGACGAGTCAGAGTCTTCTTCTCTTCGGTGACCGGAGGAAACGCCTGGATGTTCGCCACAAACAGGTCCTTCCGGAACGTCAATCCGAGGACGTCCAAATCCTCGCGACCATAACGGAACGCACACGTCAGAGTCACAAACACTGATGGGGCGAGAACAAAGACAATCAGTGATGGAAGCTGATTAACAGAAAACCGAAACATGTTGCACATTAATGTGAGACGCCATCTTCCTGCTCGTGGTTTTTACGGCAGGACGTGAGCCCAAAGTGAAGCAGCGTGCTCTGATAACACCAGCCAGTGAGGTTTCTGGGTAATCGCTCACATCCACAGCTGCAGCGATTTCTCTGAGCAGCAGCTCAGCTTTCAGCTTTCCCGCACTCGGGCTTCTCACCTTTCCTCTCCTTCAGGTACTCCGGGTCGATCAGAACGACGCCGTCTGCGAGGAGAAAACAAGATCTTCAGCAAAGTCGCTTTTGCTTCAAAAATCAACTTAAATTTAAATGTGAGTGAAGCTCCAGGATGGAGCCACAGACTGAACAAGATCTCACCGACAGGCTCCACCCGATCCACGTGGTCCACGAAGTCTCTCTTCCCCAGGTAGACGGTGAGCTGAGGGAGGAAGAGCTGCTGTTAGTCAGCCTGAAACTGTCGCTGCTGTTTCGGGCATCAGCAAAGTGTCACACCTGCACTGTGCTAAAGGAGGACTCACCTTTCCATTGGGGCTGGCTTTCTTAAACACTCTGCAGACAGAGAGAAGAGCACAGGTCACACTGTTTGAGTATCTCATACTTTTAAATAAAACTGTCCAAGAAAAGTCTGGAAACAGTGAAACAGTCAGCGCGCGCCACACTTCAGGAATAAATTTTAAATTGTCGGAGTTTCTTCTGTTTTAGCAGCAGAAGTGGTTTCTCACATGACCCCTGCCCGTAAAACACCCAGAAAACTCAGACTACCCAGGCTGAGTGAGTCCAGGTGTGCTGCCAGATGTTGGTGCTGATGTATTTTGGATTTCATGAAGCTCGTGTTGCTCCTAACCCTGCAGATGTGCTCCAGCCCTGAGCTGCGTTCACTCCTCTGAAGGCCACTGTTGGGGAGTAATGGAATACATGTACTGGCATTACATGTTAAATGCAAAACACGAGTAACTGTATTCCGTTACAGTTACCGCTTAAAAAGGTGGTATTTAGGATACAGTTACTTTGTTGAAATAAATGGATTACACGGCGGTACTTTCCTGTTTCATATGTTCGGCTGTCCCCTCGCTGTTTTTGGTCATTCTACTTGCGGCCGCATAACGACGTGAAGAAGTTTTTAAAAAAATTATTATTCAAAAAATGATTTGATATGAAAGCAATAAGCAGACATCGGCCTAAAGAGTGTAGCCTGATGGGCAGTGTAGCCCAGCTGTGAGTAAGCTGTTAAGACTCGACTGTACGCTGTGTTCCTGTTTTCCTCTGAAACAATAAGCAGCCTTTCAACGCCTCTCTGTCTCTAGCAAAGTCGACCCAGACAACAAAGTAAAGCTAGTTTTCAGCTACGAGCCGACACGAACCCGACGTATCAGCCAGAGGTCCTTTACTACGGCTCGGAGCTTCAGTAACAGTAATAAATCACATTCATGTAGTTGTAAAAAGCATGATAATATATTAAGTAATCCAAAGTATTCAGAATAGTTACTCTCATTGAGTAACGTAACGGAATACGTTACAAAATACATTTTGGGGCATGTAATCTGTTACCTGTAGTGGAATACATTCTAAAGTAACCTTCCCAGCTCTGTCTGACACGTTGCTGACCTCATTCGGTCTGAAGCTTTGTCTCCATCTCTTTTCTTCTGACCGAGTGAAACTGAAGGTGGCAGGAGGCGTCCAGCCTGCAGCCGGCAGAGCCTCGGGGAGGCCCTGCTCTCCACACAGGGCCCAAACATCACAAACATCATCTTCATTATGAGAACCTCAAAAAGTTGATTCTGCTCATGTGGACGTAGCATTTTCAGCAGAGACTCAAACCTCAGTCACAGTGAAACTAGCCCACTGAATGAACAGCAAATGTGCTGTTTGTAAGGTTGTAAACCTGAAAACATCCAGATGAACAGAATCAACCTTTTGGGATTTCCTTACCTGGATTACTGAGCATGCATTATCACTTTCATTATCAGAAGCTACTTTGCGCCTGTTTTGTGTATCGTGTCAGAGCAGAGCGACGATGAGCGCCAGGCTGTGACCAGCAGAGCTCTCGTGTCCACAGCTGTGCAGATTTCTGAGCTGAGAGTGATGCAAGAAGAAAAAGAGTAAGTCTGGCTTCAGACGGGCTGTGAGTGTCGGAGCAGTGGCTGGATGACGTCTGGTGTTTGCTGGGACCCTGCACAGTCACATATTACAGAGGGTGTGCCGTCAGCAGCTTCCTCTCTGCATTTCTGTCTAATGCTGCCCGACAGCGTGACGCCCCTCTCCTCCCCCCGCGTTAATGTTGTCATAAATTAGCTGATGGCTCCATTAGCTTTCAGCTTCCTCCTGAGTGGCTCTTCATCAATCACCAGCATCGGGACGCCGTTTTTAGCCGGAAACCGGAGGGACTCCTGGGAGCTGCCCACTGCACGATCACCTGCTCACCACACTCTCTGCAATTAGTCCAATTAAACTTTAACACGGAGCAGCTCTGCCATCTGAAATCACGAATCAGGCTGAGCGGCTGGAGGTAGAGCACCGGCTCCGTGACGGCGACAGCAGACGTTTATCGACCTCAGTGGTCACTTCTTGATTTTTAATCACAGCTGAGTGAATGTGTCGGTTTCAGACAAGGCCGGGACAAAACACGGCGTCCTCACAAACCACTGTGCTAAACACTGGACATATAAATGCTGGTGTTTGTGTGAAATGAGAGAAAAGATGCTGAAAGCTTCGGTAACAGGAAGCGAGCGTCTGAGAGAGTGTAAACACGATTAAAGATTCATTGAAAGAGAGCAGAGCTGAATCTTCAGAGCCGAGGATGCGGTTAGAGCTTCATCGCACAGACGTGAATCAGTGCAGGGTTACAGCACGAGAGGGGCTCACATTTCATCTGAGCGCGAGTAACGACTTTATCACATCAAAGACGCCAAGACAGCTCAAAGACCAGCAAGAAGGCAGAGCTCCTTTTAAGCAAATATTATTACATTTGTCCACTTTTCCCTTTCTGGGTCCAAAGCTGCTGCCACACAGGCAGAGGTGAAGCACCTGGACAGGTACACCTGTTTAGAACCACCTCTGAACCAAACAACAAGCTGAAATCAAAGACGTGTGGAGAAGCACCTGATGTGGGTTCTGACGTCCTCCTGCTCTTTCCTGTTTTCACGTCAGTGCTCAGGTTCATCCAAACTGAGCCCGGTCCCTCTGAGGCTCGTTCACACGTGAATAAACACACTTCCTGTGTAAGAGAGTGATGTGCGTCACCCCAAACACTCTGATGCATCATCATTGCTCCTTATTGTTGGGATTATTGTTGTTATCACTTAACCCTCTCGAGGCAGGCGTTGCAGATTTGCAACAGTTACAAACTAACAGCCTGATTACCCCACAGACATATTGTTTTTACTCAGAAGTACCACTGCAGGTATTCGTTTGTGCATTAGCAACAAAAACGTAATTTGAGCCTGAGAGGGTTAAACTGATGTTTAATCCTGAATATCGATGAACATTGACGCGTATGGAGACATTTCTGTCACAATAAAAAACGTGGATTCTTCTACGCAACCGTCTGTTGGAAGGACTTTCACGGATTCATTTGCTCTCTTTCTGTGTCAGGAATAAGTTTGGTGCCTTTGAGATCTTCTCACGCGTCGTGGTTCGCTCGTGGTTGGTGCAGGTGAAGCGGCCGCGCCGCTGATCGATCGGCCGCTCTGACACAGGGGGAACGCTAACTGCCCGATCGATGCCTGATTGTTGTGTCAGCTCTGCAGCAGCAGACGGCCGATGATTGAAGACTCCCTCGATACCCAAACTGCAGCAGAGACTCAAACCGGCTTTTTTCGCCTCCTCAGATCTACGACCGTCAGGTGTGACTGGACTGTGTCCGCTTTCCCACCGAGCTGCTTCTCCGTTCTAGCCCTCGGCCGGCTCAGCATTAAAGCTGGACCTGGTTCTGCCGGGCTCAGGCACACGACTGAAAACCACCAGCACGAACGCATGAGGCTCGGCCTCAGCCACGCAGAGAACAGGCAGCTGGTTTCAGATTATATCCAGAGATCACAGATGCTCTGGTCTCTGGGCTGCAGAGGGAGGGACGCTTATCAGCGCTTACTTCATGACACCAGAAACACGGGAATCCAACAGAAACATCTGGCAGCCATTAAAAACATCTGTGCTTCAAACAGGTGTGAGCACAGTGTGAAAATAAAACCCACTGTGGGGAAATAAAGAGACATTTTCAGTGTCCTGACTCACACACCTGAACGACTGTGGAAATCAGTCACTGAAGATGTTTCACCAAGAACCGAAGGGGAACCAGCAGCAGCTGCTTTGGTCTCATTTAGTCAAAATCAACCCAGACCGTCGGGAGCTTTCCCACGGAGGAGCAGGTTTACACAAGCAGCCAGTTCAAACACAAACCTTTATTCCATTTTCTATTAAACATGAAACTCTGTGAAAAGCAGGCTGGAACCTGCAGCTCTCACAGTTACTGTCTCAGGTGATTTATTCTTCGTTCTGTGTGTTAAAACTGGGAAAAGCTCCTGGAGGCTCCGTGAATCCGCTGACTCCTCGGGTCCTCCGGCCAACTTTAGCTTTCACTTTAAAATCCCTGTAATTACTTTTAGGGCCTGGCACAGCCTGACTGCAGCATTAATCAATGAGCTGCTGATCACACTTACCGCTGACAGCTTTATTGGTACAGCACTTTTAACAGTGAGCAAAATCTAAATCTTTATATGAAACAAAATGAGCAGATATAAAATAAAGACGAGGCCACGAGAACTGAAACCAACCCGTTGTTTGTTTTTTAAAGAATAGAATATCTTTACACAGGAAAGATATGTACAAGTTACACATACACCTGCACACATACAGATACACCCATACAAACATACACGGGGGGCGTGTCCAGGGTGTGAGGGGTCCTTGATGATGATGCTGGCTTTCTGCTGAAGTCTGCCAGTATGAATGTCTCTGAGGTGCCGATTGTCCGCTCTGCTGCCCTCACCACCCGCTGCAGTTTCCTCTTGCCCTCCATGGTGCAGCAGTTGAACCAGAGTGTGCAGCAGGAGGTCAGAAATCTCTCGATGGTGGAGCGGTTGTGGTTAATTAGCAGTCTCTGGGGTAACTGGGCCTGACGTAGTTTCCTGAGGAAGTACAGTCATTGTTGTGCTTTCCCTACCTGGTGGGAGATGTTTGTGGACCAGGTGAGGCCGGCCGAGCTGTGGGCTCCGAGGAATTTAAAGCTCTCCACCCTTTCTACCTCCTCCATCAATGTAGAGGGTGGAGTGCTCAGTCGATTACCATCTCCTTGGTCTCGGCTGTGTTCAGCTGCTGCAGGTGTGACCGTCTCAGCGCTCAGATCTCCTCACACCGGCTTCATGAACCGTTCGCTGCACTCAGAGCAGCGACGGGAGATTCTCATCAAATCTGCAGCAGCTGTGTGCTGATGTCACAATGATGTCATAACGACGTGGACCAAAATCCCCGAACAGAACGGGTACAGCAGAGCTCTGCGTGGAGCAGCACCTTCGTATGTGAATGTTAAACGAGTCACAAAGAAACCTGAGAGC